CTGGGCGGCACTGGACGACTTCGGTGGCATTGGGCCCCAGGGGCTCACGACTCAGAAGGTGAAGGCGCACGCCACGGCGGCCATGGTTCAGAACGGGGACATCACTGCCCGCGACGGGCGAGGCAACTGGGAGGCCGACCGTGCGGCGAAGGTAGTTGCAGCCGCAGTGAGGGCGCCGCTTGAGCTTCGCGAAGCCTGGCAGCGGCGGTCGCTCACTCTCGACGGAGTCGTGCACTGGGTTGCGCGAGCGGGGTGCGAGGCAGCTGACCTGAAGCTGGACATCGACCCGAACTGCAAGCCCATTCACAAGGGTCCGCCTCTCAGCGTCACCAGGCACGACGTGGTCAAGGTGGCTGGCGGCGGAGTCCATTGCAGGGCCTGCCTCAAGACGGCGTACACTGACCTCAGCATCAAGCGGCTGCTCAAGGACCCGTGTGTGGCCAAGCCGTTTGCGCCCGTGGCAAGCGGCACGAGGCGTAAGCCTGCTGCGTCGGCGTTGGCTTCTGCAGGTGCTGTGGCGGTGGCGCTGGCGGCGGCTCACAGGCTCGAGCAGGAGGCCCAGAGTGCACAAGACGACGGGCTCGCGGCGGTCCCCGAGCCCGAGCTCCAGCAGGCTGCGCCGAGCCCTGTCGGCGCCGCTCGCGAGCCACCAGCTGCGGGCACGCGGGCGTTGCAACGTCCCGTGGCGGCGGCGGCAGGAGGCGGCAGCAGCAGCAGCAGCAGCGGCCAGGACCCTTCGCCTGGGGCTGCCCTCATGCGTGCGGTGGCCGCCGCCCGTGCCGCGCGCGAGGCTCAGGGCGTGGCGGCGGCGGACCCCGCCGACGGCCAGGTGAGCGCAGGCCCCGAGGTCGCCCAGGACGCCATGCAGGTGGACGAGCCTGGGGGATCAGGCACCCAGGAGGCTGAAGGAGCGGGCCATGCGCTGCTCAGCATCAACGGCTTCAGGATCTGCACACGGCGCAAGGCATACGCGAAGGAGATCAACGGCAAGCACAGGACGCTCGGCAAGCCGTGCGTCGCGGCCTCAGGCAACGCGCTGCGCCTGCGCAACCTGAAGATTGCCAACATCAGGGCAGGCTTGGACCCGAAGACGGGCAAGCGCCTGAGTGATTGATTTGGGGAGTGCCTACGGTGGTCTGGGCCTTTTCAGGCTCGGCACGGGGTGGATGGTGGCTCGCGCGGCTGCCTCACCTGACGGCGCACACCCACGCAGCGTGGCGAGCGCGCTGCAACCTGGAGGCCGCTGTTTGCGGAGCCTCCTGGCCGCATTTTGCGGCTCTCGCCTTTCGGCGGAAGGATCGGCTCGTGTCGCACGAGCTGCCTGGTGCGTAAAAAAAGTGGCTCTAATCCGCAATGTTTTATGTACGTCTGTTGCTATAGATTGCGCCTCTCCTGGGGCACGAAACTTTCCTAGGAGGTCCCAGGAGGTCCCAAGAGGCTCCTGGAGACCCCAGGAAGCCCCAGTAGGTTTCAGGAGGCCCCAGGAGGCCCCAGGCTCATGCACAGAGACGCGCTTGTACTACTGAGGCTCATTCACACTCCAATTCATTCGCAGTTATATTGATGTCCAGACCGTCACAACTGAAGCCCGTTAATAGTCGAAAGCTCTTGCGCCTAGACATTCACGGCGGACAGGTCCATGCGAGTAGATGCACATATGGGGAGCTCCACGCAGTGAATAATTTGCCGGATGAAGTCTCTACCAGCAATTCGGTCATATCAGGCGGAGGCGCCGCTCCTTCCACCGCGAAGTTCGACCGACAGTCGCGGATGCATCTGGACATGCTGGCGCTCCCTGGCGACGCGGCCGGTTCTGAGCGCTCTCCGACTGCGAGAGTTTCCATTCCGGCGTGTCCTGGGGCCAGCAGTCAACCCTGCCCCCCAGCCTTTGGCCACTGTCTCCGGGCAGACCCTGAACTGCAAGCCAGGAGAGCGCGGCGTCATCTCCAGAGCCCCGTCCACCAATTACGCGAGCGTTTGCATTGGACTGGCCGCTTTTCTCAATGCGGTTCCCCCACCAGGGGCGCGCGACGTTTCGTGGACCTTGGAGGGGCTAGTCTACGGGGCCACCGGGCCTACTGCGACGCCGCGCGGGGATGCATGGATGACAGTTGAACTGCGTTTCCTCAGCCGCCCAGCTAAAACGCTTCAGCTATTTGGCCCAGTCGACTCTGGGCCATCGCCGCGGTAACCACCTCTGCGCCACGTCGCCTTCGGTCTCGAATCCGTCGCCAGGAACGTTCGGTCTCGCCGGCGTCGTGGCAGTCCAAGTGGGGCGTGGCTTTGAGCGGGTCGTCACCGAGGACTGCCAAGACGCATCGCTCCTGGGATGGCGGGGCCCTGGTCTACGCGAGGTCGCGCCTGGTCGACTCAGCCTCGACCTGCGCCGAGGCTTGTCGACTCGGCCTCGAGGAGCTCCTCGGCCCAGATCGCAGCAAGATGTGGTGTCTTCTATTGGTCGTTCGGAAGATTGGTGGCCTTTGCGTCTTGGAGGTTTCCTTAGGGCGAGCCTCGGGTGGCGGACGCGCTGGGTAGCAATGCCGATGCCTTCGATGCTTGCGCGCGCCGTGGCGAGTCTGCCCAAGACGACGGCCGACTGTCAACCGTCCAGGATGGGCCCCACGAGGATCCCTCGAACGACGCGCGCCTCGTTCATTCGAGCTGGCGCGCGTCCTTCGCGGCAGAGCAACAAACCGTCATGCGCGATGTTCTCGCGGCCCGCGCAGTGAGCTTCGACTCCCCCCGGGGGCCGAGCCGCAGCCCGCGCGGTCATATCCGCCCCTGCGCATCCTGGTTTCAGCCGTGGAACTGCGCCACCAATATTGATTATTCGACGCTGGGCCTCTCGCGCCATCGGAGACCATCGGGGTCGACGATCGCGGAAATTCTGATGTAGAGGCGCTTGCGCCCGACGAGATGTGCGTGCTATTTATTCATTCGCTGCCCAGTGCCTGAGTGCCGCTGCGCACGGCTCAGAGTCCATGTTGTCGTGTAAATGAAGGTTGTCATCGAGCGCGACGCTGACCTTCTCGCCCCTCGCGAATATTCGGAGCTGGCCTCTTCGGGGGTTGCGGCGGCGCTCGAGGAGGTCTAACCCAGTCTGGGTGGGCCGCGACTGCATCTCGCGGCGATCGCGCGGCTGCGCCGAGAATCTTTGGACTTCCGGCGGGTGGGCGCGCGGGAATTGCCACGAAAGAAGTCGCGCCCCGCGCTGAAGGAACGGGTCGTGCGCGTGCGGCTCACTTTTCGAGGCCTCAATGACGTTGGCGCCAGCCCTGCCGCCGCCCTCGCCGGCGCCCCCTCGCGACTTTCGCGGCGCGCTTTCGTCTCTGGGGCATCCTGCCGAGGATGGGCGACCGACGCGCGGGGCGTCAGGAAAGCTATCCTCAAAAAGGTCAGCGAGCGAGAACCCGCAGAGACAGCGTGCGAGGATCAGCGCGAAGTCATTGTCGAGCTCGCCGCTGATCCTGTTGCAGTTCTTCGCAAATGCAGCGGGATTTGACAATGCCGATCCAGCATTCGGTCTCTCACGTGGAGAAGCCAGGCACGAGCTGCAAAGGTGCGCCAGGATGCTGGTTCATCCAATTCACAGATGTCCCCGACGGCGTGAAGTCGGCCGCCCCCGCGCTCTACGACAACGAGCTCATCGCAAATTTCCGCAGCGCCGTCGACGACTGGACAGTCATGTGATATGGGCCCTGGAGAGTGATCGCAGCTTCGTGCGTTGTTTTGTTTGTTTGTTTTTGTTGTTGTTTTGTTTTTGTTTGGAGGGTGCGCTGCCGCTTTTGGAAAATGTTAGCTGGATCTTCCTGGGGCAACTCCCGCGCGCTGTGGGGCGCGACGTTAGCCCGCGAGTGATGGTGGTCACGCGTTTGATTGATCGAACCGACTACCCACAGTCTCCTAATCCCATCGGACGTGCTCAGCTCGTTGGGGGAGCCAGCTCTGAGCCTGCCCCTGGTGGCCAATATAAACTCCTCTTTAGCTTGCTCGTGGCTCTGGCGTTCACCCTCATTTAAAGGCTCGACCTTCGCGTCTACGTGGTCGCGCTGCATCGACGCGCGGCGGCGCCCGCGCGTGGCCGCATCCGCCACTTCAGCGCGTTGGTCAGGCGGCCGCAAGCTAACCCTGTGAGGATCCACTGACCAGCCGTGAAGTGCGCGGCTAAGTCGGAAGTCCACTTCGATGTGGAGCCTTCAGGGGCAGTGACAAGACGCGCCTTCGCGAGTGAGCTGATGGCCGCGATTCCATTCGCGGATCATGGCCTGGTGCCCTCTACTGCGCTCCGCGAGGTGGCCAAATGGTCGCACGGTTCATGGGCCGCGCGGTGCCGGCGAGATGGGCGGCGAGCTTCGGCTGTGCAGATCGCGCTTTTCCTGGGCCCCTCTGCTTTGTCGCCGCCGCGGGGGCTAGGCCCCAGCCTTCAGCGGGCCACTCGCTGTTGCCGCACCTCCCGCGGCTCCGAGACCTCCCGTGCGCGGGCCCGCGTTCGGCCGTGAGTTTGGGTCCGAGGCCCGAAAACCATCACTTCACTAATTTTGGGCCCCAGGGCCCACTGAGGCCCCATGGGGCCCCAGATTAGTGAAGTGATGTTTTTTTCCCACGTAAGGACCCCGAAATTCATCACTTCGCTAGACCGAGCCCAGGACGAGAGTCAGGGGCCGAGTTGGTGCTGTGATGCCACATCGGCCTCGTATGGAAGAGGGGTCGGGTCAGGGGCGGATGCGTCGGCCCCCGATCGCCCATTGACCGCCGATGGGGGCCCGACAGCCCACCCCGCCCAGGAGCCTGGGGATTCGCTGTCGGGGGCTTTTCGCCATCGCCGATCCATCGGCGATGGCATCGCCGATTCCAGGTCTCGAAGTCCTCCCCCCCCGAGCTGGAGGGTGTCTCCGAAGGGCTTAGGCGACCCGCCCCCCTCCTCCTCCTTCTCCTCCTCCTCCTCCTCCTCCTCCTCCTCCTCCTCCTCCTCCTCCTCCTCCTCCTCCTCGTATTGGGAGGTGCCCGCGGCGTGTCTGCGGAGGGGCTCGCGGAGGGCCGCGCCGAACCTGCCGCGCGCATATGTCAGTCTCCGGCGGGCGCCGCGCGGGGGGGGCCCCCGCGCGCCGTGCGCCGCCGCCGCGAGGGAGGGCGGCTGCGCGGGCGCGGGAGGGGCGGGCCCAAGGGGGGAGGAGGGCGGGCGGGCGGGCGCGGGAGGTGGGGAGCGGTCTCCCAGAGTCAGGAGGGGAAAAAGCACACAGACACAATTAATCCTCGATTCCCCAGAAAATATAGGAACATATGGGAAGTGGGGGGGAAGACGAAAACCCAGAAAATGTGGGAAAATATGGGGAATCTTTTTATTTGTGTGTATTTCTTTGTGTGTCCTGGTGCCCCTTCACCAAGGGGGGAGGAGGTGGGCGGGCGGGCGCGGGAGGCGGGGAGCGGTCTCCCCGAGGCCCCCCCCCCCAGAGGCCCCAGAGACGCCCCCCCCGAGGCCCTCCGCGGGGCTCCCTTCCGATGCCTCTTTCCGCGGGGCCCATGTCGATCCGGTCGATCCGATCGGACTGTCGGTGCCGCGCCCGGTTCCTTCGATCCGGCTCGATTTCGATGTTTTGGATGTGTGATGCGGCCCGGTGCTTGCACGGCGCCAGTGTGCATCTTGGCGCAGCCGATCCGATTCGATTCCGACTCCGTGCCGATGCGGCCCGATCCCATGCATACTTCGATTCGACTCGATCCGATTCACCGGTTCGATGCTGACTCGTCCTGCCCCGCCAGGGGCCCCACAGAGGGCCCCCCGAACGGCCCCCCGAAGGCTCCCCCACAGGCTCACCTGAGGGGAGGCAGTCCAGCGACGGGGGGGGGAAGGGGACCACCCAGAGCCCCGAATCATCAGGGGTAACTCGGGTCAGGGTTAACTCGGGTTCGTTTTTCGGGAATCCGAACCCGAGTTACCCCGGGCCCGAGTTACCCCGGATAACTCGGGCGCCCAGAGCCCCGAATCATCAGGGGTAACTCGGGTCAGGGCTAACTCGGGTTCCTATTTCGGGAATCCGAACCCGAGTTGCCCCGGGCCCGAGTTACCCCGGATAACTCGGGCGCCCAGACCACGAACGAACGAACGACGGACAGACGAACAATGATACAGGGGTTGGGGACGGGAGGCTCTGGGGCACACCTGCCGTTCGCCGAACGTCTGGGGTTGGGGGGGGGCCCCCGCGAGCCTGGCGTCGCCACTTCTTCACAGCGGGCGAGGTTGCCCTGCCAGGGATCGTTTGGATTCCTCCGATTCGATTCGATTCGATTTCGATGGATTCCGATTCCGATTCGATTCGACTGGATTCCGATTGGGATTCCGATTTCTCAATGAGGCATCATTGCTCTGCCGATTTCGGCCGATTCGACTTTTCCCGACTCGGCTGCCGATTTCCGCCGATCCGATTCGTTTCGATCGCCGATCCGACTTGTCGATTCGATTCTGGGATCCCCTGCCCTGTCCTGGGGTTCGAGGCTCGAGGTTTTCTGACGCCCTCGTCGGTTCTCGGCGGTCTGCCAGCCTCGGGGTGCCTTTCGGAGGCTGCGCCCTGGGGATGCGGCATGCGTGGGTCAACTGGCCGCTGGAGGCCCGAGGGATGGCCCAGCACACGACCAGGAGCTTTCGGGCACACAGATCGTCCGTTCTGGGCCAGAGGCTTGGGGCGGTGGCCCAAGACCCAGGCGCTACAGCCTTGTCACACCGAGCGTGTCCGCCCAGCTTCGGGCCCCGGGACCATCACAGATCGATGCGGTTCGAGCGACGCCGCGGAAAGATCGGGTCTAGGGTGTAGGGCTCCGGTTGTGACTGTTTCGAGAGCGGTGTGCCTCCTCCTCCTCCTCCTCCTCCTCCTCATTAGGGAGGCGGGGGGCCTTCTCAGGGCGCGGCCGCCAGGCCCCAAGGGTGCCAGTGCTCCCTGAGGATCTCGCCTCGGGACCTTGGGTGGGGATCGCTCGGAGCAGCAGCAGTTGGCCTTCTTTTTTTGTGGCCTCTCCTCCTCCTCCTCCTTCTCCTTCTCCTCCTCCTCCTCCTCCTTCTCCGATCGCGCCCCGCCCTCGTCTCGCGGGGGGGGGGGCGGGGCTCGACGATGATCCGGTTGATCTTGACGATGAGGCCGATGATGATGATGATGATGATGATGATGATTACGAAGGCGACGCTGACGATGACGTTGACGAATAACGCTGACGCTGAAAATGACGAGGCGGCCACGTCTTCATCAAGAGGGACACGCGTCAGGGTCTGCTGCCCGTGATCCTGGAGGAGCTGCTGGCCGCGAGGAAGCGCGCCAAGAGGGCCATGGCAGAGGCCGAGGACGCGCGGGGCCGCGCGGAGAGCCCGGCGGCCGTGCCCCTTCGCGTGGAGCCTGCGGCTGCACACGCGGCAGGGGTGCCCGTGGAAAAAACACACACAAACACACACTGTGGGAAAAACACACACACACACACACACACACACACACACACACACACACACACACACACACACACACACACACACACACACACACACACACACACACACACACACACACACACACACACACACACACACACACACACACACACACACACACACACACACACACACACACACACACACACACACACACACACACACACACACACACACAACACACACACACACACACTGTGTGTGTGTGTGTGTTTTTTCCTGTGTGTGTGTGTTTTTTCCCCACAGTGTGTGTTTTCCCACAGTGTGTCTGTGTGTGTGTGTGCGTGTTTTGTGTGTGTGTGTGTGTGTGTGTGTGTGTGTGTGTGTGTGTGTGTGTGTGTGTGTGTGTGTGTGTGTTTTCCCACAGACGTGTGTTTTTTCCCACAGTGTGTGTGTGTGTTTTTTGTATTTGTTTTTTCCCACAGACGTGCGTGTTTTTGTCCCACAGTGTGTGTTTTTTTCCCACAGCACCGTCGCGTCGTGAGCAGATCGCGGCGGGAGGCTGCCTGCCATTCTCGGCCGGAGGCCCTGGGACCGTCAGAGAACAGCTCCTGGCGAGGAGCCGGTCCCCAGGGTGTGAAGGAGCCACGACGTCGGCGGTCTGTGCGGGAATGACGTAGCGAGAGTTCTGGCGCTGACCCATACGGGCACGGACGTTTTGCGTGTGCTGCCCGTGCACAGGCAGGCCGTGCCGACGAACCAAGGTGACATGGCCTTGCAATCCATCGGGCCTCCCAAGGTGACACGACCCGTCCACGACCTACACCACGACCCAAACGGTGATCCACCCGCATCCAACCTCCACCCGCGACCGACCCTGCGGCCCACCCGCGACCCATACTCGCTCGACCCACCCGCGTCCCACCCGCTCGCCCTGCGACCCACACCCGCGTCCCACACACTCTTGCGGCCCGTCTTGCGGACTTTTTCAAGTCAGCGCTTGCAGCGGGCTTCTTATTCCCATTGGCTTTCGGATCTTGCGATCCGCCGACAACCCGTTTCGCGCTCCACCCACCTTGCCTTGCAAAAAAGATCAGCGCTTGCGGCGGGCCGGCGGGCTCCTTGAGCGCTCGAGCCCCGTGGCCCTGGCAAGGAAGCCAGGGTGTTTGCTCTTATTCGCACCTGTGGGCCTCAGGGGCGTACAGACAGTTTATGATGGGGAACCTTCTTTCTGTTCCTGCTTTCCTCCTCCTCCTCCTCGGAGTAGATGGGGTCGGAGGATCGCGCCGTATCGCCGATACATCCTCGACACATTGGCGACGTTGACGTGAAGCAAAGCAGGCTGCACATCGAGCCGCATCGGCGCAGCCGCGTTGGCTCAAGCCACCCCCTGCGCAGCGTCGCGTGCCAACCGTGGGCAGCATGGCGGCAGGCCCGGGCCGCAAGACAGGCGGTCGACGCTCGGGGTTGTTCCTCTCAATGCTCCAGCACACCTTTTCCCTCCCAGTGCCCGACGTCGTCTCGTGTTCCGACGCATCGGTCGATTTTGAATCGTGCGGCGTCGAGAATGCCGGCGTTAGGTCGATGGAGGAGGTGCCGAATATAAGGGTGCCGATGCCGCACTGGTGGGAGGCGATGCCAGAGTACGAGAAGCAGTGCGCGAATTGCACTGATATTTGGATGTTGTGCCCGTCCGAAGACACGGGTGGTTGGGATGGCGGTGACATGATGCGCATCGGCAGTATGATTATGCTTGAGACGATAAACAGCCAGCAATGGCTTCTCCCCGGCTATGAATTGCGGTGCGAATGGTACAACGACAATTGTGCCGGATATACTGGGCAGAAGATTGTTTCCGCCAAGCTTCACGAGAACCCTGACAAATACGTTGCCATCGGCACCGCTGGCTGCTCAGGCGTCTGTGGCCACATTGCGCAATACACGCAGCACTACAACATGCCCATAATGAGTTGGGCTGCAGGCATGCCTGATCTCACAGACCGGACGGTGTTCCGTAATTTTTTCCGCACGCGCATTCCGCACACTGCTTTCACTTATGCTGGTTGCAGGTGGCCAGGTTTTGCGATTGGAAAGCTGTTGTGCTAGTCATGGCCGAGGAGGCGCGCTTCCGAGGCCATACTGAGCTGATGAAGGAAACGATCATTGCTGAGCCGGGGATGAGCGTGGCACTCGAGGCTCAAATCCTCAGTCCGAATGTGCAGACCGATGCGGTCGTTCAGACGATCAAGGACAACAGGTACCGAATCATGCAGATGATTACCTACGAGACCACGTGGCGTGCGATGATGTGCTCTGCCAACCAGCTGTATGCATGGGGCTTGGTCTGGATGGTCTATGGCTTCTACAGCAGAAGCTTCTATAGTATTCTCGACAACCCAGACCTCTCGCAATGGAACTGCGATAAGTATCTAGGGGCCTTTGGCCCATCCCGCCGACTTGCCTGGGCTGTATGTCAGAGGCCACTGGTATGCCTTTGGCGATCTCCCGGGAAGCCTCTCGGATTCGGTACCTGGCCCCAGCACCGTCTGCGTCGGCAGCGCACTGGCTGCCCTGTCGCCCCCGTTCGATTGCACAGTGTCGAGCGGGGTGACGCCTCACCCCCTGCGCTTTCGCGCTCTGCAGTTTTAAAAAAGTGGCTTTCGGACCTCTCGGGGGTGTCTCTGGGGCCTCTTGGGGCCTGATTTGGGCATCTCGGCGGCCTCCTGGAGCTCGTGGGGGGCCTGCCGGCGATCTCCGGGGCGACCTCTGGGCGAAGGGCTCGAAACGTCGGTGCGGGCTTCCCCTCTGAGGCCTCCCATCGGGCACCTCTTGGGGCTCTATTGGGTTGTTTTGGAGCCTCTCGGGCTGTCTTGTGGCCATCTTGGGCCGTATGGGGGCGCTCTCGGGGACCTCTTGGGCCGTCCTGGGGCGATCTTCGGGGACTTTTGGCAACAGTTGAGCGTCGAAAGCCGAACAGCAGGCGAGAACATTCAAATCTGTCAATCACCTAGGGTCCAATGATTTTGACATCTCTGGATCCTCCTGTGGGGCCTCTTGAAGCCCTCTTGGAGCGTGTTTCTTCATGGCTTGGGCCATAACGCGCGTTATGGCCTCCCCGCCCCTCCCCCAGTGCGCCCAGTGCGCCCCCAGCACTGCCCGCGGCACTGCCGGCATGAACGCTCCGGCCCCCAGTGCGCCCCCGGCACTGCCGCCGTGCGCATAGGGATCCGCATGGGAACCTGAAGAGGGATCCGCATATGCCCCCGTACAGAGTCTGCATAGGAATCCGCATGGGGATCGCATAGAGATGTCCATAGGCATCCGCATAGGCATCCGCAACGGGATCCGCGTAGGGGTCCTCACAAGGAGCCGCATAGAGGTCTGCATAGGGGCGGTGGTCGCGGGCAAGTTGCGGTGCTTTCATGCACGTGTGGTGTTCGTAGGGGAGAGAGAGAGAGAGAGAGAGAGAGAGAGAGCGCGCGCAACACGTCGAGAAGAACGGCGACGACAACGCGATGACGACGACGACGACGACGACCAGGATGGAAGAGGGAGGCAAGGAGCATACCTCTCATACGCCACGCGGAGACAACGACGCCTTCGCAGGCACGTGTTCTCCACAACTCCTCGTCGCTCTTCGTTGTCGGTAGTCGTCGTCGGCGTCGTCGTCGTAGTCGTAGTCGTAGTCGTCGTCGTAGTCGTCGTCGTCGTCATCGTCGTCGTTGTCTTCGTCGTCATAGTCGTCGTCGTCATCGTCGTCGATCGTCGTCGTTTGTCATCGTTGTCGTGGTTGTCGTCGTCGTTCGTCGTCGTCGGTCGCCGTCATCGTCGTCATCGGCGTCGCTCGTCGTCGTCGTTGTCATCTTCGTCTTCGTCGTCGTTGTCGTCATTCGTCATCACGGTCGCTCGTCAATGTCGAACGCTTTCGAATGCTGTCGAGGGACTCTGGAGCCCTTCAGATGACCCAGGGAAGGTCTCTGGAGGCGTCCAGAGGACTCAGGAGGCCTCGGGAAGCCCCAGGCGACCTCCGGAGTCGTCGCTCGTCGTCGTCGCCTTCGTCGTCGTTGTCGTCGTCGTCGCTCGTCGTCGTCGTCGTCGTCGCTCGTCGTTGTCGTCGTCGCCGTCACCGTCGTCGCTTGTCGTCGTCGTCGTCGCTTGTCGTCGTCGTCGTCGTCGTCATCGTCGTAATCGTCGTCGTGGTGGTGGTCGTCGTCGTCGTCGTCTTCGTGGTCGCTCGTTGTCGTCGTCGTCGTCGCCGTCTTCGTCGTCGCTCGTCGTCGTCGTCGTCGTCGTCGTCGTCGTCATCGTGGTCGTCGTCGTGATACGCGCGGACGCTGTGTTGGCGCTGGAATCGCACTGCGGGGGGGGGACGTTGCGTTATACCCCCCCGCCCCAGCCACCCCACCCCAGAACGCCCGCTATCGCCGCCAATAAAGAATGCGCTTTTGGGGCGTCTAGTCGGCCTCTTGGGGTCGTCTTGGGCGTTTTGGAGCGCCGTGGGGCTATCTTGGATGCCTCTTTGACCCTCTTGGGCACTTCTTGGGGCCCTGTTGGCCCGTCCGTTGGGTCCTCAAGCCTATGGAAGAGTCATGCGAGGAAGCCCGAGAAAGCGCGGGGCCGTCCGGGAGATTTGAGATTTTGGGATCCCAGTCTGTGAATAAGTTTAATACTGCTGCATATAATACAGAGTACAGAGCAATATGGAAGCCTGGAAAACACTTCACTTCGTGCCTCGCAGCACGGTGGCGGCTATTCTGCGGAAGATGTCCAACAACGCGACATTCGCCACAAGTTTCATGTGGGCCACGAATAGAGACAAAGCGATCGACTGCGACAGGGACAAGTCAATGACAGCCACATCTTTCATAGACCAGTATTTGAAAAAGGCCGAGGAGCTCAGCACCAACAAAACGTTGTCG